ATAATAAAAGGTCAGCAATTCAAATTACTTTAATGACTCTGCTTTTACACAATCATCAAAAGTTTCATTATTTTTATCATTTGCAATGTCTTGCATACCCTGTAAACATCAATTGAAAATGTTAATGTAATAAACAGATAATATTTGTAAGAAATCATCATTAATTAAGGTGATTTTCAATGAACTAACTAATATTATAAATTAAAACAATCAACAAATAAATAATCAATGACTATTAGGTATTGTCCAAGAATTTATATTAAATAATAATATATGCAAATCATCTAATACTTTCTGTTAAAATAACATTAAATAAAAAAATGTATTCAAGTACTTTGAGTATTTTTGCTTGTTTTTCTTCTTCATGATCCCTTTTACTTCTCCGTAATCTTAATTTACGAGCAATTGGATCACGGCTGGAAGCTGTACAGGAAAAATCTTAAGTGGTTTGATAATTTTATTATTAAACAAAATAATTATACCAGTTTAATAAAACCTACCTTGCGATGGCTGTATAGAACTTGGAACTACAGCTCCAGCAAGTCTCAACTGATTTTGTAGAGAGAAATCAATATTATAGAATTGCAATCCATCAGTTGCCATACTAGTAGGTTTTGGTGGCATTATTAAGTGTGGATTATTACTTAAATCAAGTACTTCTATATCTTTTAATAAATGAATTGTATCAGGTAATGTAATTAATTTATTAGAGCCAAGCAAGAGTTTTTTTAAGCTACCACATCTACAACARAAATGCAAAATGATTATTTTATAGAATAGAATAAAGCTATAACACTTTTTTCAAAAATAAAAATAAAAATAAAAATTACTTACCTACATAAACCTTCTGGAATCATTTCTAATAAATTTCCGCAAGCAGAAAATACTTCCAATGCAGATAATTTACCAATTCCGGAAGGAATACCATCAAAATCAAGTTTATTGTAGTTTACATATAACCGTTTAAGCGATGATAGCTTACAAAGTGATGCTGGTAAAGATGTCAATTCATTGTCTGAGAGTTGAAGAACTTCAAGTTCTTGCCAAACCTCTAAAATATATATAATGTATAAAATAAAAATATTTAAACATTATGATAAGAGATAGAATTAAAGGTATGTATTATATATGTAGGAATTTTCTTCGGAAAAAATAATAAAATAATAACTAAATACTAAACAATATATATAAATTTGATGTCGTTCAGAAAATGGCACACAATATCTTACTACCATTACCATTGAGATGGAAAATTAAGTGTAAAAATATGTTCATATTATATAAATTCAGATACTAATCATCAGYAGCATGTTGGTTAATAAAYTTGAAAAACAGTTAAATAAACATATTCATAAATATTAAACTTATATGCCTAAGCAATAMAGAATGAATTAAAAACATTTTTTTAAATAMATTTTCTACTTATGGTTAAATGAATTACTAAAATTGAATACATATTTTAAAACTGATAAAAGCATACCTAATGCCAATGAAAGCTCTATGATAAGATTGGATGACAGGTTCAATCTTTTTAAATTAGTCAAGGTGTAAAGTGCATCTGGTACTTTTGGCAGTTGATTACAACTCAAATCCAAGTCTGTTAGAGATGTCAACGTTTCAAGACTTGGAGGCATATTAGATAAATTCCGATGAGTATTGCGCATATGTAGTGTAGTTAAATTTTTCATAGATGGTAATTGTCTAAAATATAAATTTTAAAAACATAARTTCCATTCTTAAAAATTTGCAGTAGCTCCAATAAATGCATCATTAACAATATTAAAAATTTTATCAATTATCAAAATGAATTAATTGAATCTTTTAATAATTATAATAATTTAAATTGTAATTAGATAACATTTTATTCATAGCAATGTTGTCAATAGAACTATTGAAATCCTAAAATTTAGAATTTGAAGTGTCTCAGAAGAATTTAAATTATATATTTATTTTTTAACATTGAATAATGATATTTCCATTCATCSGAAAAGGAATGTTCAGTGAAAGATCAATAAAATTTGGGTAGTAGAATTTACATTAAATAAGTCTGTATTCTGAGATTTAATATTTTTAATGATACATTTTTAAAGGTTTAGTGATTTGAAATACATTCTTCTTTAAAATATATTTATGGGTATGATAAATATTTACCTTAACTGAAAGTGGTCTAATGGATTATTATTTAACATTAATGTTTGCAAATTTGTTAATCTTCTCATTTGTGGAGGAAGTGTTTGTAGTTCATTATTGCTTAAATCTAATGACAGTAGATCTGTCAAATGAACAAATAATTGATTAGGAATGGAATTTATCCTAAAAAAAAAAAGAAAAATTTATATTATTGGTAACTATATTAGCTTATGATTTAACTAATTTATATTAAAATAGTATCTCAATCCATAAGCATCAAAAACTTTCTGCACTTAACTTTAGTAACTTTCTGCACTTAACCTTAGTAACAYAGTTACGCATTTTTCACAATATTATACTGTTAGCGGAACTTAAAAAATTTCATTCCTTGCCTCATTTACAACTCTCTCACAAGTTACAACTCACAACCATACATTATTAAAATTAACAAATTTCCATTAGATCTAATAAATGGCACTAACTTACCATCTCTCCTACTTCTTCCAAATATCCATAAAAAATTTGTTTTTATCCAGTATTTTGACTGTATCCATAACTCATTTTTTTTTTTTTAATTTTGATGAATTTATAAAGTAAATAAATGCATTTAAATTAATTAAATACTAATAATATTATAAATGCAGATTTTATTAAAAATTAAATCAATCAACACTATGTATGTCATTGGTACCTAATACCAATAGTAAAATAAATCACAATACAAATTATAATACATAGAAATTACAGAAAATATATCTTTCAGTTCTAAAAATAAAATAATCTGTAAAACATGGAATTTTTAAAATAAGATAGCAGGTAAAACATTAGGGCCATATTACAGTCAAATGATTTTAAGGCTTTGTAAACAGTAGAAACACAAAAAAA